AGCAGTGGAAAAAAAAAAGAAGAGGGGGATCTTCTGGGGGGCCCCTTCTAAACAGAGAAGCAAGCAGTGCCTTGTCACTGAGTGAAAGCTGCATCTGAAAAGAGCAAGAACTGGACACAAGGTGCAATCCGTTTGGAGGAACTATTTCAAGTTTATCAGTTGATGTAAAGATGCAACTCTACTTTAGAGTAGCAGAGAGAGTATGCAGGTCATACTCTTCATACTGAACATGTATGGTTTCGTAACTCAAACATAAGTTTCTTTTATAGGCTTCAATATGTGCCTATCGTTTCTGGCTGAGCGTGTCCTGTTCTTTCTTTCCTTACAAAAATCTGGATGTCAGGGCTCAGATTTGGATTTTTTCAAAAGGCACAAGAGCTAATTCAGGCTGTTGTAAGTGCTGGAAGTTTGAAGAGTTTTGATTTTCGGTGGTCCAGCTAAACACAAATAAGCAGGGTCCTTTTCACAGGACCCTCCTGTGAAAGGGAGAACGGCTTTGGATTCTGTGGATGATCTTGGCAATCTAAATGGGATCTGGGTACCCATCCTGCTGTCTTCCTAGCTATATTATGTTTCTCAATGTCTTCACAAATTTGTTGCAGTAATAGATTCAGTTTCTCAGTAGCTCATTTAACTGGTGAGGGAAATCCTTGCTACAGAGAAATGTCTGAAAATAGGAAGATCTTTCCCCATTCTGTGGACTCCATACCTCGGCTCACATAGGAGCTGAAAGCTCATTAAATAGTCTCTTCTTTTCTTGGTACTTGTATTTTCCTTTTTACTATTTTAACTGTGGAAACCTTTAACAAAGAAGTCGGAGACTTCCAGCTCTAACCTTTGAGTGCCTACAGATGTGTCATGGACCAGCCTTTTCCCTATGTAATCATTCTCCTTCCCTTTACCTTCATTCCTCATACGCTGAGCTGTGACCAGATCAAAGAGAAGGTGATTTTGTTTCATTTTGTTTTATCTCAAGGCAGCTCTGTGAGTCCTTGAGCACAGCTTGATATTTTATGACACAGCAAGTCCTCCTGTCAAGCTATATTGTATTTGCAGTAGTAAAACTTTGCAACTTTCTTTACATATGTATCACAGCTAGTGACCTCCTCCTCTAATCTATCAGATAATCCTGAATTGCTAGAGCTCAAAAGCAAAGGTAGCACAGAACAAAAAGGTACTATAGAAATAATTGAACCTCAAAGGAAAGTGCCCTTCTTTCTCTTTTCCCGAGTCCACTTTCTAAGAAACTAGATTCATTCTTTACCAATTTCATCTCCAAGTCGGCTCACTGCCTGGTAGCATAATCTTTCTTCCTCAGCATTTTCATTGCTTTAGCTAGGTAGAATAAAATCACACATGTAGCAGTTAAATTGGCAGGGAATTCAGAAACAAGAAACCTGGATCTAATCTCCCTAAGGCTGTCTTTCACTTAAATCTCCTCATAACTAGCGACTATCTCAATTTTATTCTCCAGTATGGGAATTGTGTTTGCCTATGTCAGAAGAGTACACTTAAGTCTAAGTTCTCGGGACACTTAAAGCACATTTTTCAGCTAGTGAAAAAGCTTTTCCTAGAAGTGGCTAAACGTTTGTTGAGGATTTATGGCCTGCTGACTGCTTTGCAAATACCTATTGTTTTGCTTAAGTATTTACCCTTCTTGCTGGGCTCAAGCAGAGCAAAGATCTCTGCCTTCAGGGTGCCAATACGCAAAGGCAGCACAGAGCTGTTTTAAGGGATGAGCTAAAACTTCAGAGTCACTATCCAGTAGCTGTTATGGAAAATGTTTCAGTCATCAGGGAATTATTACCTATATAACAGGCCTGACCAGTCCACTGAACTAACCGGTGGTCTGCTGCTGTGGAGCTGTAAAATGAAGCACTGAGTGCAGAGTGGATAGATTAATTTAACAGTCTGTGTTGTTTTCTCTAAGTTGTAGAATTCCTACCATATTTGTTAGAAATTAAAACCTTGTGGAAGCATCACCTATGGCCAGGATTTCCAAATGTCTACTACTTGCAATGGAGGCAGCAGTTTGAAAATCTGCTGCCAGTCCCTGATCCAGGGATCCAAACCAGTCCCAAACTAGTCCCATAGTTGAAGTGGATCCCAAAGTAGCTATCTTGCTGAGAAGTGTTTTCTGAGATGAACAGTAACTTCTATCAGCAAGCCTAGTTTTAGATTATGAAAACAAACAAACAAAACTCTTAAAGTTGCAAGAAGAATTGGTGCTTAAGATACAACTCCTAAGTTTGACCTCTTAATTACATTTAACTGCAAGGCAAGATAAAACTAGCAGTACTTTGCTTGTTTTCATTTACAGTATTAATGGATTGAAGACTCTGAATCTTAATTCCAGGAGAACAAGCAGTAGTGAGCAGCAAGGTCCTTCACAAGGCTGCAGAGTCAGGAGGAAGGTTGTAGTTAGGGACCTGAATCAAGATGTCCACATGGACCACGGCCAACCCCAGCTCCTAGATACTCTCAAGGCTACTGCTCTAGTTAGTTCATCCCACAAAAACTCTTCTCTGCTTAGAAGGTCTGAGGAAGTTGTCTTAAATCAAGAAAACTATTTTGGTGGCTGCAGACCGCAGTAGTCTGACTGCTACGTGACGCGTTGGTTACCTGCCCACTTGCAAGCTAAGCAAGCCCTGTGCAGCATTCAGATCTAAATCCAAAGTCAGATTTAGTCTTAGGCCCACATCTGACAATAAGAGTAATACTGGAGCAAAATTAGCTAATGCCCCTTCACAATTTTAATTAATGGCTGGCCAGCCTTTTTAAAAAGGATGCAACTGCTTACAAACAGCCATTCTGCCCAAACTGCAACTAAACAATTTAATTCTCCTGTGCTCCTTTTGACTCCTCGTTACTTTTCATTATAACTACTGCCAGGTGCCAGCTGGGGCACAAAACAGAAACGGTAAAGTGGCTATTTTTAAAGATGGCTATTTTTAATCCTTTAAGCACAACTGGAAACTGAATGTAGTTTTAGGGGGAAAAAAAATCACAAAAGCAGTTCTTTTGAGGCTTGACCCCAAATGTGTAGGTTTAAATGGATCTGGTTAGTTTAAATAAAAATATATTTTTCATAGAGGTAGTGTGCAATTGCAGCAAGTCTCTAAGCATTTCTTTTCACTTATTTCTCACATCTGTAAGGAAGTCTTCTTTAGTATCAGCAGTTTCTGTTACTTGGCTCTTTAATGGTATGAGGTTCGAGCAAAAGTTAGCTCTGCCTGTGAATTATTTCTGAGAGGGTTATTTTCATGATTTCTTTGCTTAGTGGGGAACCTGAAAAGATAAGGTTTTAAGGAAAGCTGGTCCAGGATTTAGGCTCTATGAATAGTCCTTATGTATCGGACCCACGATCTGCTTTGATAGAGCAGAATTGATGTGCAACAAGGCTGCTGAAAGTGAGAAATACCCTTCAAATCCTGCTGACATAATGAAAAAGTTACTAAGATGATTATCACACTGGGGTATCTCTCACACGACAAAAAGCTGAGAGCCGGCCTGATCTCCCAGGAGAAGGGAAGACTGAGGGGGAATGTTGACAGTATCTGAAGGGAGAGTGTGGAGTGGATGTGGCCAGACTCTCAATAGTGGGGTCCAATGATAGGGCAAGAGGTATCGGACCCAGACTGAAACACAGGAAGGTTTGTCTGAACATGAGGAAAAACTTCTCTACCATGAAGGCGACTGGGCAGTGGCAGAGGTTGTCCAGAGCAGCCTTCACTGGAGATGCTCAAAAGCCTCCTGGACACCATCCTGGACAACATCCTCCAGATGACCCTGCTTGAGCAAGTTGGGCTAAATGGTCCACAGGACCCATCCAACCTCAACCTTTCTGTGATTCTGAGAAAAAAAAAAAAAAATCAGATTGCTCTGCTGACAAATAGTGTTAAGATGAAAAATAAGCTTTGTTCTTTACTTCAAAATACCAAAAACTTAGCTTTACTCAGCTATCTAAATGCCATTTTTTTAAGCAAGTCCCTAAAGAAGGATTAGTTGTCTTTACCAAAGGAAAGCTTTGAAAATCCTACTGGTAGTCAGATCTTGTTTCAGCGATAAGATAGGCAAGACTGAAACATAAAATGACATGAGCAATTTATAATGACAAATGCATGGATTTTTTTAAGCCTATTTTGAAAAGTCCTCTGTTGGTTTAGATAAAATCTTCAGCTCAGTTCTAATACAGGATGTTTCATTTAAGTGTATAGAAAATAAACTGTGAAAAAAAACTAAAAATACATGCAATATCTATTAAGCTCAGACTTCTAACAGTATTTGTTATAAATCAGTATTTTTTGCAATGGTATATTTTTGTTTCTGAAAATTTGATTTTTGTGATGTTTTTCAAATGGGAAGGGAAGTTGAATTCTAAAATGATAGTTATCTATTTAAAAAGAACGAGTTATTTAACTTAAATAGCTTTGACAATTGTATTTTCTATGAAATCAGGGCAACTAACTGAAAAGCAAGAGCAAGCTTTGGTTTCGGCTGTCAGTGCATGTGACTGGAGTGCTGAAATGATGAGTTTTTACAGCTCAAGGTCACAGATCCTCTAATGGTTGCTCTGATGGCCTGGGCACGGTAGGGCAGGAACGTGTCCCTCCCACCTTCCCACACGCCCGTAATAACTACAGACATTCTGGGAAGGAGGGACACTGTCCACCGAGGGAATGACTCGCGCAAAATCAGTTCTAAAGAAAATGTTAATATTAAAATATTATAAACTGCTAATTCGGGCATTGAAGCTCTTTCCTGATGCCCTGGAATTTAGCTAAATTGTTTAAACTGAGCTGTGGTACAGAGAAGGATAAAACAAATCATGCCAAACAGCTCTGTTAAAAAGGGAGGGAAACATCACACACAAATGCTTTTAGCAATTCAACTACTTATTAAAAATTCCTATTTTTTGGTGTTTACTATAAAAGGAAAACAACTGTTTCCTATGTTTTTCTTAATTTATATGAAAGAGTGCTTAATCACATGGCAATTTTAATCCTGCTTTAATATCTTACAGGAAACTTCAAAAGATGGTGCACGACATCAAGAAAAATGAAACTGGGATAATAAACAAGTTCAAAAAGTAAGTTTGAAATATCAATCCTAGCTTTTTTTTTTTTTTTTTTAAGCTCAGATGATTAACATAACATAGTGCTTTAAAGATAGAACCATGTCATTCTACAGGAATATAATGATGTACTTCAATGTATATTAAGAGATGCTTTCATACATATTCTCTGGCAATGCTCATCGCCTGCTGTTTGAGCGTGTGCCTTTTTCCTCAAGCTGCTGTTTAGACTACCTGCTGCAATTCAAATTTAATTTGAACCAACTGGTCAGGCATCATAGTCAGAACTCCTGCAAGATGCTAAGTGCTCTAGTGTCTGAGCCTCATAAAACAAAAGCCCTCGTTACCTAATGTCCTTATTCCTGTAAATGCAAAATAGCATAAATATTGATATCACATGCACATGAGTATCACAAAATATTCATAATATACATTTATACATGGAGTGGAGCTTGAGTAATTCCATATCCCCCTCAAATGAATACACCATTTGCCAGTTCCAGTCAAATGCCTATTCAAAGCAATTAGCTATTTAGTGCACTCCTCTTTTTTTTTTTTTTTAATGAAATAGCTCATTAGCATTGAATTTCCATTTGGATGTGATTCCCTCATTCAGATCTCTTTCTTTACGTATGAGTCATTGACTACCGAAGTACTAAGTATTCTTGAAAGTTAATTAGTAGACAGCATCTACCACTTTCCAGAATGAATGCATTGAAGGACTCTACAAATAGAGTCCTCATACATAAAAGATGTATGTAAACTTTTTTTATGTTTTTAAACAAGTGTGTTATTGTGTATATATGTGTGTGGTTTTGTTTGTTTTTCCTCTGTTTTGGCTTTCTACTTCAGAGTAATTTAAGTGCAGTTAATGTTAATAATGTTAATGGGTCTAGTGCAAACACTTCCAAGGGGAAACCAGATGGAAGAAACAGAGGCTTTTCAAGCTTATAGCTTGAGGCAGCAAATTGTCTTCCTGGACATGAGTTCTGCTGCTAATCAGCATTGCTCTGCTGTGGGCCCTTCCCTGAGAGTGAAGGGAGATAGGACAAAAATAACAGGAATTAAGGGTATCAAAAACTGGCAATGTCAGAGGTGCCATCATTAAATGTCAAGTATAAGATACCTCTTATAATACTGCAATTATGTCAATCTCTCAAAGATTTAAAGAAAAAACGAATCAACAAAAAAGCAGGCTTATAAAAACTTTCCTAATGTGCGACTGCAGCATAAAGCTCATGTTCTCCTCCTAGCTGTGAAGTCAGAGTACAAATTATGTGATAAAGGGTTAAAAAAGAACTCAATTTTTACCTAAAACATCATGAGTCTTACAATAAAATCGGGAGTTGGCAGCCTAAAATAGTAAGCTAAATAGTATGGTTGGAGGGTCTTTATGTTGTAATCTGAAGTTTTTTGCTAGGAGGACAGTATTTCATTGAAGTAAAGCAAAAACAAACCAAGAAAATTCAGCTCTATAGCACTTCAATGCTACAACACATTGTTAAAAAATATAAATGAATAAAAGGACAGAAAGAATATTAAAAACAACTGCAAATTTATTTCATGCAACCCCCCATTTCTTATTTTCCCCAAATCATCAATTCCATACAATTGCAAAGCTATAACAACCTGTCCCACTGAGTCACGAGAAGATGGCTCAAAAAGTGTCCCTGCCAGCTGACTTCCTTGTGTCTGGAATATTGACCAGCTCTTGTGATTAAAAGATGAAGTAGTTGAACTTTGTCCAAGTGTGATGATCTAATGTACTTAGGAGTAATATGTGCTATAAATACTCATCTCGGTGAGGATGTCAACATAATATTTGTAAATCCTATCAAGTAATTTTTTTTTTTTTAAGAAGAGGATGGGCTCTTGAAATGAAGGTATTTTGGGCACATCTTAAAACAGAGCAAAAATACTGGTGAGGAAAAGCACCTGAGCAGAATTAAGGGTCACTACTACAGAAGCACAGAAGTGTGCTTGCCTTTGGGTACACGTTTTTTAAAAACAAGTGCAGAATTAGAACTGTTCTGCTAGAACAGAAAACCCAGATTTCTGCTGCAGTTCATTACAACTTCTCCATGTAGTTCGGGAAAACACATACATATGATATGGATTACAAGCATGCCTTTAAGAATACTGGTAATTCCTATAGGACTTGTTAGTTGGCCAAAGCTAAGTCCATGCTTAAAAATGCTTTGCTGGATCAACTGCAGCAGGCTGTATAGGAGAAATTGCAGAATGTGTGTTTTTGTTTGGTTTCTTTATGAAACTTATTCTCCTAAAAGTTATTTTGTGTTTCTGTGTGGTTCACTGCATTCCTGTGTGAGCAGCATGAGGTCTCATTACATGAAATGCCTCAAGTATTAATGGATTATTTGTCAAAGCTAATGATGTAGTAAGATGTGTTACATTGCTTCTAAAAATGTGTAAATATGCTCTCAGAATGTACATGGATTTTATGATGAGTCCTTTAGAACTGAAATTTCCCTGAGATATTTGAAAATTTCCAGATAATACTTATTTTCTATTATTTTTTAAAAGTTGTTTTTTATCAAAGTCAATGGAAACTTGATTTATTTGTGTGGTTTTGTTTGTTGGTTTTTCCCCCGTTAGAGCTAAAACAGAGATATTTCACCAGCTTTAAGTCTGGGACCGAGTACTACTAGAATATTTTACTTGGAAATTGTATTTGTTTATAATTTTATAATTTGTTTATCATTTATATAAAATTTTATATAACTTATAAAAGATAAGTTACAAAATTGTTCTTTCTTCTACTTAAATATGTATCCTGAGTTGGGATTTGATCTTTGAGTCCCCTGTCATTGATGTCAGGGGAACAGGAATGTTGTCACACTGCAGGCACCTGTGTGTATAGCTGAACTGGCTGGAGAACAGCTCCTTGGCGCTGGGAGCCGTGTCTAGAGCTTGCACTGCAGGTTGCACTGCAGGTAAAATTCTGGCTCTGCACAGTGAAAAGCAAAGCAGCAACTGAATTCAAAAGATCTTGAATTTCAGTTCTGGCACTCAATACATCATGCCAGTCCAGTGAGATCTTCTTTAGGTGGATTTAGATTTTTGGAATAAGTATTTGAAGAGACTCGAACAAATATAGGTGCAGCCTTGAACAGTTTCAGCAGCTCTGTGACAGAAACATGATTTCTTTTCTTCTGTTGATATTCAGGTTCCAAAATGAACAAGTGGCCTTAATTTGCAAAACTGGGAAAGATACTTGGGATCGGTATGCTACCTCAGAGCCGCACAGTGGCACAACAGGCTGTGTGGGCACGGAGCTCTGTTCTGTGCTTTGTGCTGCTTGCTCTAATCCACTTACACTTGCTGTCAGGGCCACTGCCAGGATTTACAGGGCCTGGGACAATATGTTGAAAGCTTTGGCTTAGTGCTTTGGATGTGCGTAACGTGGGCCACGAGGCCTGTTCTGCCCTGCGACATGAGGGCCTCTTGCCTCATCCCACCGCTTCCCAACAGAGCCGGTCCCAGCTGTCTCTGCGCATCTCAGGGCATGTGTTGCAAAGAACATGGATGGGTTTTGGTGCACTCTTTCTGTATAAGGCTGCTGTCTGTCCTGGCAGCGGCCCTGGGTTTTTCTTTCTAACCCGCCTGTGCTAACCTGGGCTGAACACAACAGTGGCAGTGTTAATGCTGATTAAA